CCCAGGGCGAAGCGAGACACACGGTCGGAAGAGGAGATCCAGCGAGTGGGAGGGTCGAGGCGTGGGCGGGGCTTCTGCTCTCCTCTCGGGCTCCGCCTCCGCTTTGCAGCCCCGCCCCTTGGACGCCTCTTCTCCTCCCCCTCCCTCCCCTTCTCTGCTTCCTACCCGGTTCCTCCGCCGGGCGTCCGCGTCCGGTGTTCCTCTGCCCATGTGAGGAGTGCGCTGCTCCCCGATGGCCGCGAAAGAGTCGCGGAGGGAATGGCGAGGATTGCGGCGCTTCCTGCAGGATGGAGAAGAGGGCGGGGAGGGGACGCGAACCCGGGGAAGAGCTGCTCCAAGATTGGGGGGGAGGCGAGGGCGGTTCCAGACCATCCAGGGTCGCCTCCGCGGCTGAGACGGGAGGGAAAGAGAAGCCGGGCAGGGTCCTCCGTGCAGCCGAGGTTGGGGGTGCGCAAGGGGGAGGAACGGGAAGGAGTCCCGAGCGGATCCCTTCTGGATCCCGAAGATCCTGCAAGTGCAGCTGAGCAGGTGTCGAGGTGGGAACAGACGGAGGGAGCGCCCCAGCGGATCGCTGGAGCCAGGAGTAGGCAACCTTGGCTCTTTTATGACTCGTGGACTTCAACTCCCAGAATTCCTGAGCCAGCACAGCTGGCTCAGGAATTCTGGGAGTTGAAGTCCACGAGTCATAAAAGAGCCAAGGTTGCCTACCCCTGCCCTGGAGGGAGGAAATAGGAAATTGCCGAGGGCCACAGGAACCAGTGCCCTTGGAGGAGGACTCTTCTTCAGCTGGCCCAGTGTCCCCCAGAGGACACGTGGACGGGGGGGGGAGCAGATTCCCACAGGGCTCCCACCTGCCCCCCCTCTGGCCCCATTTGCCTTTTGCCTCCCTTCTGCCCAGAACCGGACAGAGGCTCCTGCTTGCCCACCCTAAGACAAAAACACTCGAGCCACTAACTTCCTCTAACTCGGGGGCTTTTTTTTTACACAGAGGCTTATAAATGGTTTGTAGGGCGCTGAGGAGACCCCTTCTTCTTCCCTAGTCCCCCCATGATGCTTAATTTGGATTTTGGCCCCTGAAGTACATTTGAACTTTTGAATATATATTAAGCATATCTGAACTCTTCAGAAGCCCCCCCCCCATTATCAAATATAACCTTTAGATGCCTTCAGAGCAGCTCACCTGTCTGGGGGCTGCAGAGTAGAAACCCAGCCTAACTCACCTCTGGAGGGTTCCATTTAGTGAATGCTAGCAAGCCTCCTTGTGGCAAGACCATCCCTGGACCCACAACCCAAGAATCACAACGTTAAGCTGCTGTGTGTAGAATGTAATTTTATTTACTCTGCAGCGCAAAATATCTCTCTTTCTGGGATACAAAAACAATTAGAAGCATTTAGAGCAGCACCCGGGTTTAAGGAAGAACCGGAAGGCAAAGCAGGAGTTAAGCAGCTCAGTCCAATGAGAGCCAGGAGACCCCCTCCGGCCACCTTGCCCCAGCTGCTATCCTCCAGATGTTTGGGACTTCGACTCCCTCAACATCTGCAGAACACCAGATTGGGAAAGGCCCTTCTGGGGCATAACCAGCCACATTCAGTTGGAAAGAATTGGGTGGGGGAGGTGGGGCAAGGGGGGTCTCTTGATAGAGAGGGTTTTTTTAATCCTGGTTTTTTTTAATCCTGGTAACTTTTAAGATGTGTGGACTAAAATCCCCAGAATTCCCCAGGAGCATGCTGGGAATTGAAGTCCACGCATCTTAAAGTTGCCAAAGTTGAAAACCTCTGACAGAATCAGAATCAGACAGAATTCATCAGAATCTGATGAATTGCTTGGGAACTGCTGCTTCACCTGGAAAGCAGCTCCTTTTTCATGGCTGTTTCCACCACACAGGGCCTTCTTGGTGGTAATATTATTATTAGTATTATTATATATTTAAATAAATTGGCCTTTATGAGATGCAGCCCCTTCCGTCTAATATTTTATCCTCACAGTCACAAAAAGCACAATTAAGGCTAAGCGATCCTGATGGCCAAGATGAAGCAGCTACACTCTACATTATAAATATCTCTTCAAGATAAACAACTCATCTTTGTGCCCCACATGTCCCTGCAGTGTTTGGATTAAAGTAGAAGAAGTCCTCAGCTCATGTCCATTTGTTCAGCAACAGTTTGGAATCCGGATGGTGCTAAAAAAAATGGACGTATGGCTGATCCCAGAAGTTGCAGGCATTACAGCCCCACTTGTGCTACATGCCTGGTTTGCAATTACTACATTACAAAGAGCCACACTGAGGTGTGATCACTGTTTGTGACCTTCCCTGCTGACCTCCCACAGGCAGAATCAGTGGGAAAAAGAGCTTATTGTTTTCACAGAACTGTAAGAAGACATGCTAGCCTGTGAAGAAATACATGATACATGTCTTAATATTAAGTGTTTTCCGGTGGAACCAGTCTACCAGAGCAACCTGGTCTACCCAGGGACGGAGCCTCTTGCTCTGCTTTTGCCTTTTAGGCCCAATCTAGGAGCCTTCATAGGCCATCGCTTCCGCGACCACTATTTCTTGTATTAAATTTAAATTTGATATATGTTTTAATCTCATGAGCGTAGCTCAGGGGTAGGCAACCTTGGCTCTTTTATGATTCGTGGACTTCAACTCCCAGAATTCCTGAGCCAGCATGGCTCAGCATGGAAACCTCTCCCTTTCCCCTCAGCATGGCTGGCTCAGGAATTCTGGGAGTTGAAGTCTACGAGCCATAAAAGAGCCAAGGTTGCCTACTCCTGGCCTAGCTGAAGCTTGACAATTGTTATGTGTCATTTATAAATTGGAGTTGCTATTGTTTCTAAAGTAAAAGCTTCTTGGGGGGGGGTATATGTTCGCCTCTCTTCTGTCATGTTCTCATACACTAAAAATATTTATTAATGATTCGAACGATTTTCTGATTGTGAAAAACATTTTCCGCAGAATAAATATATGTATGATTTTACTTGTTTTCAAGTGGTCATTTTCTCCAGTCTGAATTCTCGGGTGCATATTAATTTTGATTTCCTAGAAACATTTGTCTCACTGTGCAAGGTTTCTCTCCTAAGTGTTTTTGTTTGTAATTACCAGGTACGTGTTGACCACATTCTATGCACTGATAACCATTTTAAATAATTTTTTTATATATTCATGGAGACATGGCGAGTGTGAAGCTAGAGGTGAAGGTAGGGCTTTTGGTCTCCAGACAGTCTGGGGTCCCCCTCCGCGGCCGAGACAGGGTGGAAAGAGAAGCTGGGCAGTCTTCCCTGCAGCCGAGGTTGGGGGGGGTACCAGGGGAAGAGTCAGGAAGAAGCCCTGAGCGGATCCCTTCTGGATCCTGAAGATCCTGGAAGTGCAGCTGGGCAGTTGCTTCAGAGAGAGCAGATGGAGGCAGCTCCCCACTGAATCCATGGAGGGAAGAAATAGGAAAGACCAGGAGCAACAGGAACACCCCCATCCTGTGTGAGGAGGGGTCTTCTTCAGCTGGGTGTTCGTGGATCCTGACTGAGGATAGAGAGGGAGGGGCTGGCCTAGGGTCTCTTCCCCGGGGAGGCCTCCATGGAGGGGAGGATGCAGAAGAGTCCCAAAACGCCTTTTACCTGCCCCCATTGCCTTTCCTAACCTATAGATCTCCCACCTTGGTGTCTGGGAGGGGGTCTCCTTCACCTCTGCCTAAATGCAAGAATGGGCACTGTCAAATTTAAGAAACCATAATTTCCAAGTTTCTTCAGTTAACACGTCCTTCCCCTCTTCTACTCATAACTCAGCCAGTATTTCATCTTCCTTCTGGAATTCCTTCTTGTTTCAGTTCCATAAAAAGCTCTGCACAAAACATTTTACCCATTTCGCTTACAAATCAAATATAACTGCAAAATATTTCAGTCACAACTTCCCTGGGGGCGGAGAAGGAGAGGCGAGGAGGGTCTGCTAAGTCCAAAGAGGCTGGGAGCTGCCATGATGCCTTGGGACTTTGCTGCCCCAGAATCAGAAGGCGACTTTAAACTATGATTCCCTTTCCGCCCAGGAAGTGAGCTAACTTTCCCTTAACACTATTCACCATTGTGGTAAACAATGTGGGAAACGTGCACTCCGGACAAATTAACAAGAGGCTATAAGATAGTATAAATGATTTTATTCAGGCTGTACGATGGACAGGAATGATTTTGTGGTAAAGCGTGAAAAAAGTACCTTCGCCTGGATGTTATTAAAATAAGGTTCTAGAGGGAGAAAATATCCTCCAGATGCCACTTAAGCCTCAGGGTCTTTTTTGCCCCCTTATCCACCCTCTCGTATTCCCAGTGGAACATATGGTTCCATACAGATCCCAGAGAAACAAAAGATCCACGAAACCTTAAAAGTTATATTTTAGAATCCTGAAAGAGGATTTCCTGTCCCATTTAAGAGCTGGCGACCCGGGTCCCTTGGGCCTCTTCCACTGGGAATACGAGAGGGTGGAAGTTTGCACCTAGGACTGCAGTGACATAATGATCACAAAAATGTCGTAAAATCATAACCAATCATATGGGTGCCTTGATGGACGACTGTATAAAGCTACAACAACAAATCTGTTCCCAATTCCACCATACGCCGAGGACTAGGAGCACTCTGCAAAACATAATTACCCTCCCCAACACTTGTAACTCTTTTCTCTTGTGTAATGTCTCTGGTAAGTTACCAATGTTGCTGCTTTGTGAGCCAAACCCTTCTCACACTCCCAACACTTAATGCCCTTTTCCTTTAGTGTGTACTCTCCAATTGTATTTAAGACACTGTGACTCGGAAAAATATTTTCCCCACACCAAACAATTGTAGAGTTTCCCTTCTGTCACTTTGTCCCACGTTGTTCATGACAGAAGAGATTTATCTCTACTATGGATTTCCTGATGTATTTTTAGCTTTGATTTATAATTAAAAAGTTTCTCACTCTCTGCACATTTGTAAGGCCACCCTCCTGTGTGATTTCTGGTGTGCTTGCAAAGTGATGAAGACTGGGCAAAACATTTCACACACTACAGAGAGTTATATGGTTTTTTCTCCAGTGTGGGTTCGCTGATGTCTCACAAGATTATTTTTTTGAGAAAAATATTTATTGCACTCTGAGCATTTATGGGGCTTCTCTCCTGTGTGGATTCGGCTGTGAGTTCTAAGGGAAGATGAATGAGCAAATGTTTTCCCACAGTCTAAACATTTGTAGTTTTTCTCCCCTGTGTGAATTTTCACATGACTCCAAAGGGTTGATGTGGTACGATAAAATTTTCCACATTCGTTGCATTGATAGGGCTTCTCCCCTGTGTGGGTTTTATGATGATTCCAAAGTACATCCTTATAAGCAAAAGATTTTCCACACTCTGGGCATTTGTATGGCTTCTCTCCTGTGTGGAGCCTCTGGTGTGTTGCAAGATGGTGTTTTTGGGTAAAGCATTTCCCACACTCCCCACATTTGAATGGTTTCTCCCCCGTGTGGATTCTCTCATGAACCTGAAATGCTTTTTGGGTAATAAAACTTTTCCCACACTCCCCACATTTATACGGTTTCTCCTCTTTGTGACTCTTCTGGTGTCTCTGAAGTTCAGAAGAATACACAAATCGTTTCTCACATTCTGGGCATTCATGGGGTCTCTCTCCCATGTGACGTCTCTGATGTTGCACCAGTTGTGATTTCAAGGCAAAACATTTCCCACATTCAGGGCACTTTTTGTTTTTCTCCCCTCTGTGTGTTTTCAAATGTTTCCGAAAAGATGCATTGTCGGTAAAACATTTTCCACATTCAAAACATTTGTAAGATTTTATTCCTGCATGAATCTTCTCATGGTGCCAAAGATCTGCCTTCCGAGGAAAGCTCTTCCCACATTGCCAACATTTGTAAGGTTTCTCCCCTGTGTGAATTCTCTCGTGGTCTCTGAGACAGGCTTTTTCACGGAAAAATTTCCCACATTCCAGACATTGATAAGGTTTCTCTCCAGTGTGGATTTTCTGATGTCTAAGAAGGTTTGACTTTTGACCAAAGCATAAATCACATTCCTCACATTTATGGGGTTTTAATCTGGGGGAGCTTCTGAGATCTTTGGCACCTTTTCCAAAAAAGGATTTCTCACCCTCCAATCCTTGACTGGATCGGCTCCCCACATGGACCTTCCAGTGGGTCAAAAGGAGGGACCAGCGAGCAAAGGCTTTCCCACACTCGGAGCATTTGTGGGTTCCTTGGTGGTTTTTCAGAGTGCTGCTTGTGTCTGGCGGGGGATCCAAGAGCTTCCCACTCTCCATGCTTTTTGGTGACTGCTGCCTTGTGCCGATTTTCTATTATCTGTTGATAGTTGGCTTGCAGGTGAATCTTTGCTCACAATCTTTTATCCCCTGTTAGAAGGAGAAAGAAGCGAAGAGTAATATCTCCTTTTGAGACATGTAGAGAAACACAAAATCTTGGCCTTGGAAGGGACCTTGAAAGTCTTCCAGCCCAATGAAGGCTGCTCAGTACACCTGACCCCTACATCTCTAGGAGAGATGTCCTCAATTTATGACCAGTTAGGACTGGAATTTCAGTCGTTCAGTGAAGCAGCAATCATATGACCACTTGGATCCACAACTATAATCCCAGACTCCTGGTTGCAATCATGGAGTGATCTTGAGGGTTCTTAAATGGAGGGAGGCTCAGGCAACTGTTGTTAGGGGAGCCTCAGGGGTGGAGGAGGTCATGGAGACCAGGCACAGGCCACCCATGAGTTGGGGGGTAGGTGCTGAAGTGGGATGCAAAGCTGCAGCCACTCCTGGAAGCCTGAGGCGCCCCAGCCCAGCCATGCAAAGCAGCATTAATTGACAACAATGCTGAAACTGGGCCTTAACGGGAGGCCTGGGGCCTTCAGCAGTGTCATCCAACGGACACTGACCCCAGGCCTGGACTTCAGCCCACTGCCTCTGCTGCCATTGAGAAATGAGGCCTTAATCCCCAGATCGGAAGCCTTTGCAGCCTTGCGCCATTCTCCAAGCCGCATTTCCATACTGTTGCTAAGCAACGTGTCCCAAAGCATCTCTAACCTTCTTCAGGGCCCCCTCAACTTCCACATTTCCTGTGCCAGGACTCACAGGGCCTCTCCTGCCTACTTAAGGCAACCCCACATTCCTTAACTGGGACTTCGTCTGCTTGTGAAGTCGCTTAACAACCATCACCATGAGGGCAGGATTGCAGTCATTGAGCAAAGCGGTCATGTGACATCTCACTTAATGACCGCTTCTCTCAAAGACTGAGATTGCAGTCAAACCTGTGGTCATAATATGAGGAGTATCTATAGGGAATCCCCAAAATTAAGGCATCGCATAAGCAAGGGAGGAGGGAAGAGTGTTCGGGTTAGTGTAAGCCAGGAGTAGTCAACCTTGGCTCTTTTATGACTCGTGGACTTCAACTCCCGGAATTCCTGAGCCAGTCATGCTGGCCCAGGAATTCTGGGAGTTGAAGTCCACAAGTCATAAAAGAGACAAGGTTGACTACCCCTGGTAAGCAATCAATTTCTGATCCCCTTTTCTTGCTTTTTCCGATTGTTGCACTACTGAGCTCCATCCCGTCATGATGTCTTAATCCTCACTTCATGACGCATTTTATACATTTTATAAAATACTACAAAAAGGAAAAAAATGAATCCAGAAAATTATAAAGCAATCAGCCTGACATCAATACCTGGGAAGATCCTGGAAAAGATTGTTCTGTCCCAGCCTATGTACGTCCTTGTTACTGCACAAAGACAACCCCTCTTTTAACAGTAGACTGGAAAATACACTCTTTTTATTTGAGTTACAGATCTGATAATTGTCCCAGAAAAACAAAAGCAACAGAACACTTTTCCAACGGAGCATGAGTCAAACAGGAAGTAACTCAGAGACAAAATAAACAGACCATGATCTCTTGACTCTGAAGTTCTTTGCAAATGGTTGCCTCCAGCAACCAGCCCTGCCCACACATTCCCTTTTTGTTACACAGCTCCCAAAGCGTGGCTTCTCACTGCTTTCTCCTCTTCCCCTGGAATCGCCCCATTGCCTCCCTCTGTCCTACTCGTGTGAACCGCCTACATCTACGAGCGTCTCTGAGGTCTTCCAGATGTGCTTCCTCCGAGTCCGACTCAGCTTCCCAGCACAGCTGGCTCTCAGCTGGATCATGAGTGGAAGGACCAGCCTCCTCATCAATCTGTAAGTCCTGCAGCTCATCAGAGCCTCCCTCCAACCCTGATGGCTCTCCTGGCCCCTCCTCCTCTTCTTCCTCTGATTCCCCAGACTCAACTACTGGGATCACAGGCTGGCACAGAATCACAGCAAAGATAATCAAACAAGGAATCTGCAAAAGTCTAGAAACAAACAAAGCTATTACTAGAAGCCAACATGGGTTTGTCAAAAGCAGATCACGCTACTAGACAAACCTTATTGTATTCTTTGGAAAAGTGACTAAATAGTGGAACGGCTAAATTCCATCGACATAATATACTTGGATTTCAGTAGGGCATGTGTCAAAGCAGACCACAGCACACTTCTTGATAAGATAGAAAAATGTGGGATATACAGCATTACCACCCGATGGATTCATAACTGGCTGACCAACCACACAGAACACGTAGTCCTGAATGGAACTACATTAAGCCTTCATCCAGCAACTTGGGAGTGAAACACAATTTCTCTGCATTGCTGTTTTGTCAAATAAAGATTTAAAAAATATAATGTTTATTCTCCAAACCAAGATTTAACCAAGATTTGTTTACTCACCTTGAAAGTTATAGCTAAGAGGTTTCTGGTACACTTGTTACTCTTCTGACTCAAGGCTAGGAACGACCCTCACTGCTGACTGGTTTGATTTCTCCTTAATCCATTCGCCCTTTGTGCAAGAAGCTGCTTCTCCAACTGGGCCATGATTTCCAAATTCTCTAGAATGGAGTCCCGGCCAAAAGTTGGTGGATCCCGATCCAAGAATGCCCCTTCTCCTCTGTGGAGCTCACGGCCACATCCTCACTGGTCTCCTGCAAAGAGAAATGAGAAAGGCTCAGATGCTAACAGTGATACTGAACATAATCTGTAAATGACTTGGAAAAGGGAGGAGAATATGGAATTATTTGTTGAGGATATCAAATAATGGAGACAGAATCGTGATTCAAGAAGATCTTGATGAACCAAAATGGAAGAAACCAGCAAGATGAAGTCCAACAGGGACCAATGCAGTTTTGAGTAGGAAAACTCAATGGAATATGAGAGAGATCAGATGGGGCAGAGCATGTGTGTGGAAAGGGCTGCTCTTTCCTGCTCTTTATGGAGGCTGCAAGAGCCACAAAAATTCCAGGTAGGTGTTTCGAAAAATATTTACAATTAGGAAAAGCAGCCTTTTGGCCATCAGCTTGTTTTATTACCTGCTCACAAGACTAGCCTCAAAACTTCCTTGGTGCATGGTAAAATATCCACCAAGGGGCTGCCGCACCACAGCCTCTTCTAGGCAAAACAAGGAAAAGATAAAGTTTAGAAATTCTGCCCAGCTTTTTAAAGTGCCCAGCTTTTTAAAGCGGAAGCAAAGTAAACATTACCATCAAAACAAAGGACTTTATTTTTAGCTTTTTACATTGAGCTCAAAGAAAGAGGAACTCTTGGGGTTTAAGAAAACATGAACTGCATTCAGTTATTTAAATGTTTTCTTTTCCCCCAAAGACTCCCCACCCCATCGCAATGAGGTCACTCGGTGTTAATACTGTGGGAAGAATCCAGAGAAAGAAAGAGTTTGGGAATATTAAAAAGGCAGAATATTATATTTCCCCAAAGGATCTTAAAGGCAGAAACCACCCCCCCTCCCCAGTCACTCTGCCCCAAACAGAAACCATGTCTGCAGAAATGTGATAATCTTGTCAGAAAGATTGGAACCAGGAAGCTGGGATTAGAAAGATAAAGATCCCTAGAATCAACAATCCCTCACACCAAAAAAATCCAACAGTCATCAGCCACAGGGAAGCAGGATATGACCTTTGGGACATAACAGGATTAACCCACCACCATCAGAATACCAGAAAGGCAAACTCAGACTCAGCTCAAAGTTCATACCACAGGAACAACTCCAAACAAAAGCTCGACAAGTCATAAAAACCCACCACTCTTTACTACATGTAGTCAGTTTTTCCTAGAGCCATCTTTCTGTCCGGCTCTCCTCTTCCATAAACTACAACCTTCTTTCTGAAGCAGTCTCCATGTTTATTTATTCCTCGCTAGGACTGGACCTTGTTGGAGATTTTTTCTTTCAATAATACCCCATTTACAAACTCCGTTTACTCCATTTTCTGCAACTGCACGCGCGGGATATGCATGCTCGGAGACCTCGTCCTCTGACGGACCACAGAGAGACCTTCTGAAAGCAAAATCCCCAGAGCTCCTTCCCGGATCCACCCGGAGCCCCACGGGGAGCCCTGGCCGGGCGAGGAGGGGGCAGATCCAGCCCGGGGAGGGAGGGACCCCCCTTTGCCCCCCTGGAGGGAAGGGAGGGATCCGCTCCCTGCAGGCGACGCCAGAGCCGAATCTCCCCAAGGAAAACCCGGGAAGCCGGAGAGGCGGATCCGCAGCTACCTTTCTCCTGGCGGGGGGGGGGGGAAGCTCTCCTGGCGGGAGGGGCGCCCCAAAGGCCGGAGGGGGAGCAGCCAGACCTGCCCGGAGCGGGATCCAGAAGTCTCTCCCGAGGGATCCTGCGCCGATCCTCCCAGGGCGAAGAGGGACAAGCAGAGGGAAGCGGAGGTCCAGCAAGTGGGAAAGTAGAGAGGGGGCGGGGCTTCTGCTTTCCTCCTGGGCTCCGCCCCCGCCTTACAGCCCCGCCCCTTAGCAGCCTCAGCTCCTCCTTCCTTCCCTTCCCATTTCCGCCTTCCCAGCCGGGTCTCCCTGTTTCTCCGCTGGGCATCCGCCTCCGGGGTTCCTCTGCCCATGTGAAGAGTGCCCTGCTGTGCCCGGGCGGGGCTGCCTCCTGCTCCAGCATCTGTGTGG